GGGGGGGGGGGGGGGGGGGGGGGGGGGGTGGATTGCGTAGCCACGTAAATTGCATCGCTTCTATCGTCCATGGTCTACCCTAAGCCCTAAACCCTTCAACACTTAAACCCAACAGCCAGTAATCTGCAACAAGGCGGATTCCATGCTTTCGAGTTGGGGTGTACTCTGGATTTGTTGACAACATTCGTTGTGAATAAAAGCACCGAGGTGGGGTGGTTCTCTAAATTAGGATCCCGTCTGGGGTCCTTTCTATACGGGTGCCGTACTATTTTGGGGAAAATAGGGACCCCTAGCTTAGAGAACTATAGGCACGTGTTTAGGTTCGAGGGCGAAGGCTTCACTGGGCATCTCAACTTGCCGCAAGAGGCCTTGTACTGTTGAGCTTTCGGGTTTAATGTTTAGGGTTTAGGGTTTAGGGATCCTTCTTGAATCGTTGCTTGAGGTTCTTGATATTGAAGTATCACTACGATGCTGTCACCCAAAACCTATTCTAATTGTCAAAGCCCCCTTGCTCCACTGTATGATGACATGCTGCAGGCTTCACAGCCTTTCTGCGGCCCGGCTTTCGACATTATACGTCTGTTTGTTTTGCTGTTGTGGCGGTGGGCTTAATCGCTGAAACCCGAGACCCCAAACCCTTGAGATTCATATTTTGCACCAGGGCTCCACTATCTGCAGATACCAAACGCCTCGACCGTCAGATGATTCTTTCGCTGGGATGTCGGGTTCGGAGCTTTAGGCTCGCTGGTGTTCGTGCTTACTTCAGGGCATTGGACGCCAAAGCTTTATCCCAAAGCTTGGCTGATAAGGACTTGTGACAGGTAGTTGAGGCTTGCCGTTGTTTTTCTCGACGTCCTGGAATGGCTTAATTAGCCAGCGAACTGAGCGGAACTTCGGGAGACCGAGTGTTTGTGTGTGCGGGTTAGCTTTATCTCTGAATGCAGGGCTTATGCAGACCTATTTACGTACATACTTGCATGCATGCATACATAAAGCCACGCATACCGACTTACACAGATACCTAGGTCATTCATTCATACACATACATGCATGGTCGACACGCATACTGCTTACTACTTTTTGTCACATGCACACGTGCATACATACATTCACAGATAGATGGTTGGTATACTCACCCATACTGGGTTCCACACGGGGTGTGCTAGGATGTTTGCTTGGAAACACTTCCGGGAGTGCATGAAGCCTTCGATCCTGCAAAGAACAGCTCCACCCCAATCCGGATGAACATGCCCGACAAGCCCAAGGGACCCAACAAGTTCGGTTTCTTTATTCGGTTCTATGAGAGTTTGGACTCAAGGGACGATTTGCTCAGGATATGGTGGGCTCTACAAAGCACCGCCCTCGGAACCTGGATCCAAGCTGGTGAAGACGCTGCAAGCTTCAGTTTCGTCGTAGAAGGCCTCAACGCTTCCTGGCAGCATCTGGGGTTGTCCCAAACCAGCGCGGCGTTCGAGAACCTAGTTGAAGACACTCCCTGACACTCCCCTACCCGGACCCACACACGCTGCACGCAAAGTCATTCTATGCTAGTCATAAATCCTAAGGTCCTAAACGCTAAAGGGTCCGTGGTCAAAGGATTTCAGGTCTCCTCCTTCTGCCAAATCTACATTGGTAAGATTAGCAATTTTTCATTCATTCTCAGCGCTCGGGTCATCACTGACGCACGCCTTGCAAACACAAAACAATTGAATTCGGGTGAGACGTGGAGGGTGGAAAACAGCCTCAAAATGTGTTGGAAAGTCCCCTGGGCCCAAAATCGAGGCCAGCTGCCTTAAACCAAGGAGCAGCAACAGGTAATCCAAGGTGCATGTTGCTGCACTGCAACTGAAAGGGGCGCCCACAAGCGTCAGTCAGAGTGCGCATCACAGCATGGCAAGCCTGTTCTGTCCAATCAGCATAGGCTCGAGCCGCCTTTAAGCTGATACTGGTATACCCAAAAGGGCTGAGGACCGTAGGCGGCGGGCTAGCCAGATCGGCTAGGAGAATCTCGCCAGCTGCAGGGACGGTGAAGGGCTCGAGATCTGGCCAAAATGGCACAGCATCGGCAGGAAACTCCTTAGGCTTCGGTTGAGGCTGTACCGAATCAGCCAGGAGATCAGGGTCAAGTAGCAACAGAATATTATCCGCCGCATCTTGGACCTCGTTGCTGTCAGACGTGGTGTCCTTCCACAGCTGAACTGTGTCCCTCAAGACCTGGACGGGCTCGATCACAGCAATGACAACTTCCCATAGGAGCTCCTCATCATAAGTGGGAGCTGCACGCAGGTCAGCGAGCAAAGGCTGTGAGATCCCCGGAACATAGTCGAGGTAAGGGGCACCAGGTTGGGCGTCAGGAACCAGCACCGGTGGGGCCTGGGGGTGTGTTTGCAGAGGCTTATCAGCCGGTTGAGTTGGGCAAATCCATGTGCCCCAGTTCTGCAGACAACGGGTACTGTGGACCAGGTGTCTGCGGAGTCGGCCCACACTTCCGTAAGTACGACCACAACCCTCACAGAATGGGGAACTAGCAACCAGATGCGCATGGGAGCGATAACCATGAACGCGTGCCGCATGCCCTGCCCAAGCACGTCGCGAATGAAATTTTTTGCGGCAGGGAATGCAGATTTCAGCTGCAAACGCGTTGTCCTCTGGAGGCTCTCGGATGGGCAAGGGTGAAAGGGCCCGCAAAGCCCTGTACAACCCCGCATAGGCAGCAATGACCACATTTCTACACCCATCAAGACCCTGGGCACGCAGCACAAGACCTTTAAACCTGTTGGGCGTGGTGGTGATGCAGTGGAGCCACTCGGGCCATTTGGCATTGGGGTCGGGCAAGGGGGTAGTTGCATGTACCCACCCGTACAACCAGCCCAGTGCATGCTGAAGGCAGTCGGCATAAGGGCGATCGACCTTCAGCAGCGCCCAAATGGCGGGCGGCGCCGCTCTGCAGAGTTGGCTGAGGTAGAGCAGCCTGGCACGGTAGAGGGTGACTTGCGGCCCGGGTAAGCCAGTGATGGCGAGGACTGTGTGGGCAGTCCAATGTTGATCATCTTGCACCCTAATGCCTAGTATAGCCCTATAAAAGGACCAGAGGGCTCCGGAAACAACTGCAAATTCTTTCTGTTGCAGTGGAGGCCAGCTGCCCGCTCCGAAAAGCAGTTTGGGGAGGACAGTACTTCCCAAAATAAAGGCCTTGCGGCGCACCGGAATGCTGGATGCCCTGTACACCTTTCGTCGCCCCTCCGAGAATGTTGACCTGGCCTGGGCTGCTCGAAAACGTAGTTCCTCCAGCATGCCGCCTCGACAAACGTGCTTAACACCCAAGTGCTTATATGACGCAACGAGTGGGACATCAATGGCCCCCGTTGTTTCCCGTAAAACCTTGACCTGACCTTTCAAGCCACGGTTGGAAAACAGGAGCTGCCGCGCTTTCCTGGAGCCGTTGCCTACCGCCTGTACTAATGCAGCTGTCTTGGCCGGCCCATATGACAAACGAAAACCAAATTCAGCAAAGGCATCACTTAGACCACCAGCGGTGCATGCTACATTAGACGCCAGAGTAGCATTGCCGGGACTCACCCGCATGCAAGAAATGTCGTCTGCCCACACGAGGTCGTCCAAGGGCACATTGGGAGCCGTATCAACTGGAGGTGCCAAAGAAATTGCTCCGTCCCAAGGCACAAGCGGAACTTGAGGGCCCCGGCCCAGTCCACTCAAAAGCTCATCTCGGCGAGCTAGAATTCGGCCGACGAGCATTGCGAATAGCAGGTCTGCAGAGGTGGAACCAGGCCTGGTACCACGTGAAGTCAAAACCGGTACAGAGTCTGACTGAAGTAAAAACCACGTGGACTCGGTCAGCTTGTCTGCTAAACTCTCTTGCCACTGAGTTGCCCCTGCCGCCGTAAAGGCTGTGGGTTCCTGCATATGCTGGAGGATGGCATGTACATCCGAATCCGGCAGATCAGCATTTAGCAAGTGGCCTGCTGCTTCTTCACGGCTCTTGCCAGCCGTCGATGAGGCAATAAGAGGGCGAATCGCCGAATAAAAGGCAGCAGAGATGTCTGCAAACAGAACAAAACTGGGGGTGGAAGTACTGGCCGTCCAGCGGAGGAAAGTCCGGCAGATATGGGACCCGAAGACCACACTCTTCTGCGGTTTACCTCCAAGCTGAAGATCCGGTGCAGCTTGAACGTAAAGATCTCTTATCTGTGGCCGTAGTGTTTGGTGCAGGGCCTTCGCGAAGTTCGGTATCAAAAGAATCGACCGAAAATTTTCGCAGAGCTGGGTCGACCCTTTGCCCTTGTAAAATCGGACGGCTTCGGCTCCCTTGAAGCCCACGGCCTCGGCGCCTCGGAAGATGAGCTTCAAGAGCAAGGGCATAAGGGCTTCCGCGGTCTGCTGCGAAAAACCTCGCAAAAGTTCGCTCGGAAGCCCATCCATACCGGGTGCCTTACCAGCTTTAGCTGTGCGGACCATGCGCCGTAGATCACAAAAATTTGGCAGGCCAATGGCTGTAGAGGGGGATGGCCATGGCCCAAAGGCCTGCTCTGCCGCAAGTGTGTGCTCCACTAGAGCTGCTGGGTCAACCGCACGGCCTCCTTCTATGGAGGCAAAATGTTGCCTCCATCTTCGCTGTACAGCCTCGGCATCTGCACACACCTGACCTTTGGCATCGACGATGGTGGGTAAGGGCTCCAAGCTGTAGGGCTTTTTGCGTCTATGACACAATAGCCTATGGATGGCATTATGGACTTCCGAACTGGGCCGGGTTGCAACCTCTTCGGTCAGCCTACAGATGTAAGCATCGCGGTCTTGTCTGCACGCTTGCCGGAGATCGCGGCAATATGTACGAACACGCACAAGTGCAACAATCTCATGCAGAGCCAGAGGAAAGAACCATTGATCCCAGGCTTGTGCCCATTGCGGCCCGAAAGAATTGCCACGGCCGGAGAAATGTCGCCACACATCAAAACAAAAGGCATACAGCTGTCCTCGCTTGTACCCCCGAAGATTCTGCAGCCTACGTCGAAGTTTGGATGCCTGTCGCTGTAGACCCCAGGTGTCTTCCGAAATGTAGGGGTGCCTGGGCCTAGCTGGGCTACGTGTCTTGATGGCCCCAAAAGCGGTTTGCAGATGTGAAACCACAATCGCAGCATGGGCATGGGCAGAGACTCCCCATGGCACTGATGGTATGGAAAGGAAGGCCTGCAGAATATGTTCACGATTGCCCGGGTCGGTAAAGAGTTGCGCTGGGAAGTGTCTTTTCCTCGTCGACTTACTCTTCCCTGCCGGCATGAAATGGACCTTCGCACTGCCACATGTGGCAAGGTGATCCGGGGTGGCTAAAGCCACATGTACCTCAGGGGCAACCCAAGCTTGTAAGATTCCGCTAGCCCAAGTGGCAGGAATCGCGATCATATCCGGACGTGAAGTGCCTCCACCACGCTTGTGCTGGTAGGTTGCTGTGGGACCCCATTGGAAGGCGGCAAAAGTGCATGGTGCAAAGCAGCCTACCTCATCAATCAAGGATCTCCACCGAGTGCCGGGATCATCCTCGATTTCGGCACCGTAGTCTCCAACACCAGCGGAGGTCACAGAACCCACCGAACTGTTGACGTCTCCAGCCAGGATGACAAGTGATTGCCGACGGTGATGATTAACCAGCGTGCGGGTTTCATCCCACCAGCTGTTGATCAGGTGGGCCTCAATTGCGCGCTGTGGGGCGTGCATGGCGCAGACTAGGAAGGACATCTGCGGGCAAGTAATCCGTAAGTACATTCGTCTGGGATCCGAATATACTACAGTGGCATTGGTGCGGTCGATCTGAAAGCCCTGTCCTGCAGTCTCAGTGGATTCGAAAAAGGCTGCTCCTTTACGAATCCAAACTTCGGTACCCCATTGTCCTTTTAGGGCACCGGAACTGAAGCGGAGGTAGGTGCCTATACCTGTGTGGTGCCCGCTGGGCATCTGGTTTCCTGAAGGGAAGCAAGAGTGATGTCGAGATCCTCAAGTTGACGGGCCAGCAGAGCAGCGCGGCCGGGTCTGCTGCGAAGGCCCGCCAAGTCTTCCACTGTACCCTGGTCGTCCTCGAGACAGCCTCCCAGGGAGAGTGTATTGTATGACAGGATCCGAAGCGTAAGCCGTACGGGCTTCAGCTGCGGTGATTGTTGTACCTCCGGGTCACTCCAAACACCTGTCGGCAAAAATGGCTGGGAGAGCCCCGACAGGTGGTAGCTCGGGGGCCCCTTGCAACTGTCGAAGGATAAGGGTGGCCCAGCCGAGCCGAGCACCGCCCTGGCCGAGCCAATCACGTAAAACAACCATAGATGGCTGGGTCGAAGTGATGGCCGTCTCTGGTTTGGCGCTGCTTTTGGCAAGCATATCAACCGCTTCATTGAAGAAAGCTCCCTGGTGCCCAGGTACATACGAAAAGAAATCTGCGCGGCCACATCCCCTATGACGGAGATCAAAAGCTGCTGCCATGGCTTCCGGGATACCGCCGACTGCAAAACCACAAGTGCCCTGGGCAGCGCCAAGTGCGGCAACACAGTCGGAGAAGAAGTGAATCTCTCTCTCCGAAAAGGCAAGTACAGCTGTAACTGCAGCAATCGCAAGGGCGCAGCATTCTGCCTGATAAGCAGAAGGGAGACATGGGGCCCCAGTAAACCTTCGAATATCTCTCCCGAAGAGATTGCGAAAAGACCTTCATGCGGATCTACAAAAAGGGCGGCCCAGCCTGCTTTAGCAGCTACTCCGTCTCGTGATGAAAAGAAGGATCCATCGGTGAAGCAACAAAGGCGTCCCCTCGGTGTATCACCAGCAAGTTGACTCAAGGCATCCCTGAGAAGGGGAGGGGCTGCTTTCGCAATATACACTGCTTCGCCAAAAACCTCCTCCCAAGTATCAAAATGCGGTGTCAGGGAAAGGAAATTGCAAAGCTCCCGCCACGTGAACCCCAAATCAGTGGGTCCAAAATTTGCCGATTGTTGGGCTGGGAAAAGGTTAAGAGCCGTCAGATAGGGCAGACGAGTGCACGGTATGCCACCCGTATACTGTGGTGTAGGCAGCGCATCACACGGTATGCAGCTTGAGAGTGACAGGTTGGTCTTGCGCGTGGCCTGCCTGGCTCCATCCTGGGGGATGTCAAAACTGATGCTTTCAAAATCGTGTGCAACATCTGGCTGATCAACAGATGCAAAGTGCTCCAAGAGTGTCTCAAGAAGCGTGGCCGCAAGGAAAAAGGCTTGGGAATCAGGTTGTTGCACACATTCCTCGAGCAGTGTACTCAAGGCACTCAGGCCGGCCGCTTGGACACGGCCAAGGTCCTGTTCAGGGTCACCGGTAAGGGTAGGGACTAGGCAGATGCTCCTACAGGGAGTAGGAATTGGCCTACGCAGCACGACCAGATCGTGGTTGCGGCTGCCGCCTAATATGCGCATTTTATCACTTGCCTCTACCTGGTCAGCGCTGTGCCATGGGTCAACGGGAGCTGCCACAGCTCTTTGCATGCTGATAGCAAAGAGGACCGCAAGAAATAGGATGCGATGTTGCCTGAGTGCAGCGCGCAGAGCAAGTCGAAGGATACCTGAAGAAGAGAAGGGGACCGTGATCAGAACAGCTAGGTGCAGGAGGAAAGGGGTGATCCCAGCCTTGCCTTCAAGAAAGGCGTGACGCAAGAAAGGGCAGAACCACATTTCAACTCGACTGCATCCCTGACTCTGAAACACATGGACATCTTCCTTCTCCTGATCCCAAGCTGCAGTGCACAAAGCCTCGGTCGAAAGGTTACACGAGGCATGTTGAGCATGCGAAACGGAGGAACTGCCTGTCCCAGCATCAAGCCTGGATGCAGCGCGGGCAGCAGCCTCATGTCCGAGTGAGCTGCTGCTAGAAGAGCGGCCATCCTCATCCGTTTCATCTGGATCATCATCATCATCATGAGGATCGGTGTCAGGAGGGAGGTCTGGCGTTGGAAAGACCAGGGACACAAAAGCAATGTCAAGGCTTCTCCATCCTGTATCGCATGCAAGTGCGACTGTGGGGGCGCAAGGGGCTGCCCTCCACTGACACGTACCGCACAGTAGCCAGGGCATCTGTGAGCGTGTCTGTCTCGAATTGCAGCCACGTCAAGGATGCCCCCAGGGGCGATCCCCCAAGCAACGCCAATCAGAATTGGTCGTTGATCCAGAAAGTAAACAGCGTCCTGAGGTTCAGGCGGCCTGCGACTGTGTCTCTCTTGAGTGGCGACCAGCACCGAACGAGAGAGTTGGCCCCTGTAGGCATAGTCGCGAAGGGCTGGCTGGTTGGGCAGGAACAATGCTCAAGGTAGGAGCTGCTAGCCCTAGAAGGGCTGCAATGTCAGACCTCAAATGGCGATACCTGAACTGGTCGCCTCTGAAGAAGCCATTAAATTCATCTCCGAGCACCCACAGACTATCCTCACTCCGTACCGGGCCGGGTATGTCAATGACCCAGCCACCACTGTCAAGCAGCCGGTCTGAGGGCGAGGACAAGATTGCCACACGATTGTCGGGAAAACAGAAGCTGATCAGGTCTCCTTCTTGCAGGTCGACACCCTGTTCTTCAGGTAAAGGCCAGGGCATGTCCCTGACAAAAACCTGCAGGAAAGGCCTGCCGTGCTGACCCGCGGCTGCAAGCAGGGATTGGCGTGTGGCCGGCATTGGCACATTGACACAGAACAGCCGACCGTCAATGGCCCTGGTATCGAAGGCCACGAAAACCCCGAAGGCTGGCCAAGATGGTTTCGCCAGGAGGTATATGTAATCGAGATCTGGCTGCGGCATTACAGGGATCACAACAGGAAACCACACCCATCTCTGCTCTGACCTCGCGGCATTGACAGATGCAATAGCAAGCGGGACCGAGGATGGAAAGGCAAGGGTGATCACACCGCTCTCTGGTTTGTAGTCAGGAGCCAGGAGCAAAAAGATCAGATCTGCATTGTCTGTAGCTGTCTCTTGGCCGGCTTGACTATGTGGCTCCGCATTATCGGGCCGACCCCCAGAATCAGCCAAATGTCTGTCAGGCGGGTCCCCAACCGAGTTATCTGGAATGGCAGAATTGCTGGGGGCAGCAGTATCAGCAGACTGAGTTGTTGTGCTAGCAGCAGGTGTGACAGTGTCTGCAGTGCCAAAGGAGCGATGGTACTCCACAGTGATGACCTGACCATTCTGTAGGGAAGCTCCATTCACATGATCTCCCAGGGGAGCTAAAAATACCTCCCAACCCAGGGGAGCCTCAGCCTGCAAACGACCTCTGAGCACCTCATATGCTCGACTGCTGGTTGCAAAGAATGCCATCCGGAAGCCATCAGCGACTGCTCTTTTGTCTAGCAAGACAGCGCACAAATTATCAGCGAGGCTGGCACAATGTGTCTTGAAAACTGCAAGCACACTACGACAGTGCACTCCTGTAAGGGAGCAGTCAGCAATCGCTGGCGTGGCTGGGAAGTGCCTGCAAGAGCCCTCACTGGCACCAATTGCTTCTGCTAAGCGTCGCCTAAAGTGAAAGGGGCTGTCAAAATCTGTGACATGCAAGCATTGAGTGTGCTCTTGGGCAAGGCAATATGCCCACACGATGTCGGGATGAGGGAGGGGCTCAACCCGAGTCCAATGCAAGGGACTACCAAGAAGGGTGGGCAATTTGGGCTGTTGGCCTGGATCACCTCCTTCGTGCAGAATAAGAATCAGCACTCCTGGGAAAAGGTGTGCTTCAACACCGTCAGGGAGTGGCTCAGGATCATCTCCGACAAAGACAGAGAAGCCTGCCGCAAAAGAAATTTCAGCTGCACGCAGAAGGAAGTCAGCAGAGGCATAGGGTGGAAGGTAAGCGGCGAAGACACGTGAGTCGATCGCAGCGGTATTGAAGAATGCCACGACAAGGAAAGGTCCCCAATCTGGCAGCGCTACGAAGAGCGCTTGACCCCGTACAGCCTGCGGCTCGACAGGACTGAGGTGGGGGAAGCGCGCAACGGTCTGTGGATTGCGCCCATCATGCAGCACATTTTCCAACTCCTGAAGCGTGGCTGGCAGGTCAAGTTGTACCTCAACACGTTCAGGGATATAATCTGGGACAAAGATCTGGCAAACAATTGTGGTAGCCTGTGGTGCCGGGTGCAAGTCTTGGGCAAGCAAGTCTTCGGCAAGGAGGGCTCCCGGAAAGGAGCCATCTGTAATGCCAGGTTAGGGGCATCCGAGCTGAAGGGACACCTCACGCAAAGCTGCCAGCCGTTCAGAGCATAAAGCTCCGGCGGCTTCAGGCTCCTGCCAGGTCTTACATTGGTTGGCCTTGCACACATCAGAAACAGGAGCGAGAAGAAAAGCTAGGTCCAAGTCCCAAGCACTCAGCTGTATAGAACGAAGAGAGCACATGGGGAGGTTGTTGTAGGAGTGAGCACATGTCTTGGACCGGCAAGAATACCAGTCAGGGCTCAACTTGACAGACATCACGCTGCGACTGCACAGCAGACCACTACTGTGAAGAGAGTCTGAAGCACCGAAAGGGGACCGGGACCTCGATGCAGAGCGTCTTGCCTGACGTATGGGCGTTGGCGGCGGTGGTCCGGCCGGACGGTTGACGTCACTGGCACTGGATGGTATGTTGCGATCCCCGACATCATCCTCGTCGCCATCAGGATCGGAAGCTCCAGAAGAGTCGGAAGAGCTGCTATCTTCGTCTTCTTCCTCATAAGCTATTTCAACATACCCAAAAGTAACCACATCACCCTCATGGAGCCTGAGTCGGCCATTCTCTCTGGGCCGTGGCCAGAAAGAAACTCGGAAGCAAGGCGGGGCATTGAGGCCCAAGAACTGCACGAGCTGAGTGGGGTCAACTTCGTTTTCAGCCAAAAGGATGTGCTCAACCTTGCCGCTTGTTTGTCGGGCATCAAGGAACACAATGATGGCTTCACGGTCTGGTGACGGTGTGAGGGGATACATAGACAAGACGTCTCGGCAGGGGACGCCAAAGATGTCAACATTAGTCAGAGAATTCCCCCTAGCAGCAACCGTAAGAACCCTATCAGGTGTTCTCTCGACCAAATCAGCGAGGAATGTCCTTGTTTGCACGCCTGGATACCTGGCCGGTGAGAGCAAAGTGAATTGGTCGTGGTGAAGCACCAGCACCGGCCAGTCTGTGCCTATATTGGGCGTCTGCGGATCGGGGCGCCACATATTAGGTCTATCCAAGCGGGCATTAAGGGTACTAAACCAAATGGGGGGGTCACCTGGCCTTCGGAATTGCAGGACACCAGCTGGCACGGCTAAGAGTGAGGCTCCGTTAGTCATTGGCTGCGTGCTGCCGAAGGCAAAAACACACCACTCTTCACATCGATGCCTTCTGGCCTCCCTGAGGCAGTCCCCATATGTGATACGCTCCCAAGCAAAAGCCGAGTAGACTGGGCCATTGACAGCTCTGAAGTCAAAGACTACCACTTGCATTGCAGCATTGGGCAACCACTTCGGAGCAATGACGATAGAAGCAAAGTCTGGGCCTATCTGAGGAAAAACTGGGAGGGGTATGTGCGTGAAGCGAAGTTTCATCGCCGACGAATGCCTGTGAGTATCTCGTATAGTGGAAGTGGAGTTCTGAGTGTAAAGTAAACCACCTCAGCTTGATATCCCGGCGACATCACAAAAGCAACCCCTTCAACCTCCTGGGAATTACGAAGAGCTGCCGTGTTGTCGTCCACCGGGGGCACCGGGATATGATCGTGATTCTCAACAGCTTGTAAGGGAGCTGACTGTTGCTCCATCCTCAAGATGGACTCCCTAAGTTCCAGATCCAAAGGTATGCCTGCCAAGCCGGAGCAATCTGCTGGCCACCTGTATGCACGGGGAACTGGCAGTGGTTCCGGACAAAGAATGGCGGCTCTGATTAGTATATCGACGGCTTCACCCCACAACGGCTGGACAGCCCAAACCCGGCAAGGGATCGAAATCCAAAGCAGAGCACGAAGAAACCCGGAAAGCCAGCCAAGGCTGCATGATACTCGGCCTGCTCGACGGGTATATCCCGGCAGGTCCTTGTCACACCTGGGCTTGTTGGCTTGGTCATGTTGACGTGGGGAGAGGCATGCTATGGGTCTTAAGATCGCGCTCGGGGTGCCATGGGTAGATACAAGAAGTACTTTCCCAAAGGGACCTCGAAAGGCACCGAGCTGCCGCAACAGCACCTTAAAAATGGCGAGGACAAAGAGGAGCCAAAGGTGGCAAAAGAAGCCCACGATTGACGCTGCGACGGCCTGCCAAAGATCCCACCGAAGTGGGAGAGTCCATAGGCGGTCAGTTGAGGTATTAGGGCTGTAGCGAGGAATGGTAGTAGACGGACGACGTCCCAGAGCCACCGATACGTCTGTTGGGCCCCGTCTACAAGAAAACCACCCCGAGCCTAAGAAATGGAAAACCCTGGTTCCAGCGAAAACCAGAGTATCAGCTGGGACAAGGCCACAAGTGCCAAAACTGCCTGCACAAGTGCGAAGAAATCCAGCTTCCAAGCGCGAGCAAAACAAGAAGCGGGCACTGTGAGATGCTGCAAAACCCCAGTAGAGCAACTCACACACCGTAGAAGAGGACCTGCCAAAACCAGCTGAGGTGCTGAAGTCCATGCTGATGCCCCTGGACGAGGACATGATTAAGACAGGCGAGGCTTTCAGAAATGAATGTACAGAAAACAAAACCTGTACAAGGAGGTTGCACTCACTGCCCATGGAGAATCGCATAAAATCCAAACAGACCTGCTGACACAAGGTCATTTGCCCGAAGGGCAAAAGGCCCGCCAGCCATGACACTAGGTCAGCAAAGTCAGTAGGGACAATGCATTCTCTCACCGAAGGGGAGCCAGCCAAGGACTCTTGCCATAGATCACCGTCAAGGGCTCCAGGGAAGAATCCGACCAAAACTACTCCTCCTGTTGCAACAGTCTCTCGTCGATCTCCTCGAGGCCGTCCTCGTCGTCGTCCGCTTCGATAGCTAAGTTCGCCAAGTCCACCCTCGTTGAGCCGGGCGGATGTTCCACATGTCCGGTACCTGAGCCTGGGTCTCCAGGCATCTGTCCCAGGCCGAAAGGAGTAGCTGCCCTGAGGCCCTGTCTCTTGCTTTCCAATCTCTCGGTGATGGCCTTCTGTTGCACAGCCTTTGCCTTGGTAGCATCTTTGGTGGCGTCTTTGATGCCCGGACGCGGGGGCGCAACCGCTGTAGGCACTCTGGCAGACTCCAAAGATCTCTGCCCTGGGTGTTTGGGCACCTGCCCAGGGCTTGGGGCTGCCGTAGTCTTGGCAACATCCACAGAAGGAGGTTCCTCCAAGCCTCGGGTCGCTGTCGTTGGCGTGGCACCGGTGTACGGATCCGTATACATGGGCACGGTCGTCTCGACTTCCATTGGCCTCGGTGTAGGTCGACCCCCAGCAGGGGTGCGAGGCTGGGTCCGTGCCGTTCTTGCCGGTGTCCTCATCGAAATTGCCAAAGCCCGCCTGAGGATACCATCGTCCCCGTGGTCGTCCTCCCGCTCCCAGTCCCCAAAGACTTGGTCTGCAGAAGGAAGAGCCGATGTGTGAAGCTCCTCGGCCAATTCTGTGTCCTCGCTCCCAAGACCAGTCGCTACCTGGCATAGGATAACCCTCGCCTGGTGTTGCAATGTCTCGGCCTCCTGCACCTCTTGCTCTAGCTTGGCAAAATCCTTGTGGTACTGCGCCCTTTGCTTCTGAAAAGCCATCTTGAGACGTTGCTCGTAAATGTGCCATTTTTCTGTGCAGGTCTTGAGTGCTGCCTTGAGCTTCTTGACCTTGTTCTCCGCCTTCCGTGCCTCGTTGAGGGCACTCTGTGTCACGGGTACCAGGCGTCCACGGCTTGAATCTTCTCCATCCTCCACCGTGATCACGTTCTGCTCCGGCAAAACAACCTCCGTGTAGCTTGTAAAAGCTGGGTCCTGCTTTTGGCTGTTGTAAGGGTATTGCCATGGTGGCTGTGCAGCCTGCTTGGGTTGCCGCTGCGCAGGCGACCAAGCCCCAGGCCACACCCTGTATTGCCCACTTGAAGGCACCCATGGCTGCTGATATTTACCCCTTCCCATGGGGTGTCGGCTCCAACCAGAGCCGTGGTGGAGCCAGAGGCGTGTCCACTGCAGCCTGGAAAGGGCCTTGCCTTGGTGGTAAGCGGTCCTTGCTCTCGACCTCCTTTTTCGCAGCCTTCTGTGCCAACCTGGAGAGGAGGTGGCAGCTATGGCTGGCGCGGAGGGAAAGTCTAAACACGGCAGCCTTTACTGCCTGGGGCACTGCGATTTTCCGCGCTGTTGCGGCTATTCGGGCCCTAAGATTAGCAATAGTCATCATGTCTATGGAGAGGAGAACGCTGACAATTTGAGAAATTAGAAAAGAAACCGCAAGCCCTGAACCCCAAAGCGCTACACCAAAGGCTTAAACCGAAGCCCTAAGTAACCCAAATCCAAACGAATCTCCAACATCTGAACCGCGAAAATGGTTTCCCAGCCGGACTCCATCGCCGACTGGGGGTTGAGGTTTAAGGACTTATATAAAGAAATCATGATAAGGAACCCCAAAAAGGTAGGTTCCTGAGGGTCCTAAGCCCGAGAAATGCTGCGGGCGTTTTTCGACCTCGTGGCGGGCTTAAACAAGACGGTGGCTGCAGAAATGGCATTACAGTTTTCAAGGCACGTCGGTGGTTAGCAGAAGAGTAGCCCATAGAACGCCACAACAAGCAATAGAGTCTTTGGTATGTCTGCTGCCCTGCCCTACCCTACATCCTATCTTCCCCCAGCCCTACCCTGCAATCCCTGCTCCCTACGAGCCGTAAGACCTGCGATAAAGGTCCCTGAGTCTCAGTTAGCAACCCAAATCCCTAAACCCTAAACCCTGACTGGGGGGTCGGCAGTCTTTCGAGCTATTTGTATTGGTTTCAGGTAGCTTGGACTTAGGGTTGTGGAATCACATTAGGTTTTTTTCTGACTTGGGCTTGTAGGGTCTTTTGGGTCCAGAATTCTGGATCTAGGACCTAGGCCCGGCCTTCAGGGTTGCAGAGTTTGTAGGTTCCGATGCCGGGGAGGTCAGGTCTTTAGTCTTCGCGGTGGCGTTTCGAAGGGCCTCGGTTGGGTTAAGGGTTAGGTTTAGGGTTTAGGGTTGCGCACTTCCGCCGAAAGGAATTTTTGATGGCAGGGTTTAGAGTCTAGAGTTTAAGTAGAACTACATGGTATCCCAAACTCCTGAACCCGAAACCCGAACCACGTACTCACCATAAATAATGTGCGAGCTTGGCTCCAGGAAGATGTCTTGAGGTCTTAGGTGTGGCTTTTTGGCCTTTTGCTTACCGACTGGCCCTTCAGAGAGAGTGCTGATGCTTGAGATGCGTAGGGCCACATATGTTCTCTTATAGATGGTCCGTAACAATTGGAACAGGCTTTGAGACATACTGCTTGGATTCTAGCTTCTCATAGATTTGGGAAGCAAAATCCAAGCCCTAAACCCTAAACCCTAAACCCCTAAACCCTAAACCCCCGTCTCGACCTTGAATCGGTGCCCTCAGTGCATCGCAGCAGCTAAGGCTACCGTGCGGGTTAACGCCCCTCCGCTGACATTTCAACTGATGGGTGTCCGGGGACTTAATGCTTGATGGAGCCTTTGAAACCATACAATTGAACCCTAAACCATAAACCCTAAAACCTAACCCTTAGCATCAAAATAGCCCAACAGCCTTATATAATAGGATCTTTGTGCCCAAAAGCCTTAAAATATGAGTCCTTTGAGGGTATAAGGGTAAACCCTGAGGCTTTAAGCCAAATCTACAGCGCTCGAAATCTCGACAGCCTGCGCTCGACCTGGAGCCCTGGACTTAAACCCTGAACCCTTTAAAGCGCTTTCAAAAAAAATTCTCCAAGCAACCCAAACCCCGTTGGTTTCCGGGGTTGAAACGTCAGAGGTCTCCCAACAAGGCCCTTGGTCCCTAGGCCTCGAAAGCCTAAGTATTGCTTTGGGGTCTTCCAAGGGCTCTGACAACGGGATCTATCAGAGGTTTTCCAGAAGGGCATGTCGAGGTTGAAGCCCCAAGCTCAAGACTTTCATAGATAGATAGATATATATATATATATATATTAAAATATATATATATATATNNATATATATATATATGTACTGTTGTTATTACCATTGTTGGGGTACTTTTGGGGAAGACCCGAAAGGGCGCTTAGTAGGGTTAAGGGCAGAGGGGCTCTTGGTAGTGTTTGGTGTTCGCCTCTTGCAGTTTAGGATCACAGGTCTACGGCCGATTCAAGTATCAGTGCATGTGCCGTCTCGGCAACGCGAAGGCATGCATTCAAACACAACCTAAACTTGCCGCCCTCCAAATCTCAGCTCCAAACCCCAAGAACGGGACCATGCAGAGGCCAAGCAGGAAACCCCTACAGTATTACGCAGGTGGCGCGACCCGTAGATATGAAGGGCTGCTGGGTTTCAGCAGTGTTGGATGTTGAGGGGCTTGGGGCTTTCAAGCGCGGGGTTGGTAGGGGCTCGAGTGTGAAGCTTGGAGGTTTGGGGTCTCGTGGGTCATTTTGGAGAAGCCCTGAATATTCAGAATATAGTATTCCTGAGGTTTCCTTACTGTACAC